CGCAGTTTGTCCCAGTTTGTCCCAGTCCCTCCCAGTTTGTCCCAGTCCATCCCAGTCCCTCCCAGTCCCTCCCAGTTCATCCCAGTTTGTCCCAGTCCCGCTCTCACCGCGGGGCCGCTCCCCAGGGCCGTTCCCAGCTGCGCCCCCAGCGGTTCCCGGAGCGCGGCCAGGAGGGACCCCCCGAGGGCCACCTGGAGGCTCCCGAGCAGCACCTGCGACACCTGGGGGGGGAGGGGCGGCTGAGGGGGGGGAGGGGAACAGGGGGGGAGGGGGGAGGGGCTGCCCCTCCCCCACACCCCAAAAAAACCCCACAAAAATTCCCCAAAAAATCCCAAAAAATCACCGAAAAATCCCAAAAAATCACCCCAAAATCCCCCCAAAAAATCCCCCAAAAAATAGCAAAAAAAATCCCCAAAAAGAAAAACCCAAAAATCCCCCAAAAATCACCAAAAAATCAGCCAAAAAATCCCAGAAAAAATCACCCAAAAAATCCCCCAAAAAAATCCCAAAAATCACCCAAAAAATCACCCAAAAAATCATCCAAAAAATTCCCCAAAAAATCCCAAAAAAAATCCCCAAAAATCACCCAAAAAATCAACAAAAAATCCCCAAAAAATCCCCCCAAAAATCAACGAAAAATCAGCAAAAAAATCCCCAAAAAATCACCCCAAAATCCCCCAAAAAATCACCCAAAAAATCACCCAAAAAATCCCAAAACAACCCAAAAAAATCACCCAAAAATTCCAAAAAAATCCCCAAAAATCCCCAAAAAAACTCAAAAAATCCCAAAAAAATCTCCCAAAAATCAAAAAAATCCCCCCAAAAATCCCCAAAACTCACTCAAAAAATCCCCCAAAACTCACTCAAAAATCCCCCAAAAAACCCCAAAAAATCCCCCAAAAATCCCCAAAACATCCCCAAAAATTCCCAAAAAAATCCCCAAAAATCAGTCAAAAAATCACCCAAAAAATCTCCAAAACATCACGAAAAATCCCAAAAAAAATCCCCAAAAATCCTAAAAAATCCCCCCAAAAAAACCCCAAAAAATCCCCAAAAATCACCCAAAAAATCCCCCCAAAATCCCCAAAACATCCCCAAAAATTCCCCAAAAAATCAGTCAAAAAATCACCCAAAAAATCCCCCAAAAAATCCCCAAAAAATCCTAAAAAGGACCCGGATTTTGCCCCTCCCCCACCCTAAAAAAGGAGCCGGATTTGCCCCTCCCCCACCCCAAAAAGAGCCAATTTTGCCCCTCCCCCAATCTTAAAATTCCCCCTCCCCCGCTCCAAAAAGGACCCGGATTTGGCCCCTCCCCCAATCCCCAAATCGCCCCTCCCCCACCCCAAAAAAGAGCCAAAATCGCCCCTCCCCCACCGCTCAAAGGAGCCCAAATTTTCCCCTCCCCCACCCCAAATTTTGCCCCTCCCCCACCCCTAAAAGGACCCCACGTTTGGCCCCTCCCCAACCTAAAAATCGCCCCTCCCCCACCCTAAACCGACCCCAAACCCGCCCCTCCCCCCACCCCCCAAATTGCCCCTCCCCCACCCCATAAAGGACCCGGATTTTCCCCTCCCCCACCCTGAAAAGGAGCCAAAATTGGCCCCTCCCCCACCCCTCAGAGCCCCACCCCCAAAAGGACCCGGATTTGCCCCTCCCCCACCCCCAAAGGAGCCAAATTCGGCCCCTCCCCCTCCCCCAGCCCCGCCCCTCCCCCATTCCAAAGTCCCCACGATGTCCCAGAGCTGCCCCTCCCCCACCGCCGGGGCCTCCCAGTTCATCCCAGTAGAAACCAGTAACGGCAAAAACCAGTATAAACCAGTATGAACCCGTGTAAACCAGTATGACCCAGTATAAACCAACCAGTATGAACCAGTATAAACCGGTATAAACCAGTTTAAAACCAGTTTAAAAAAGTATGAACCAGTAGAAACCAGTGTAAACCAGTAGAAACCAGTGTAAACCAGTGTAAACCAGTATGAACCAGTATAAACCAGTAACACCAAAACGCCAAACCAGTATAAACCAGTAACACCAAACCAGTAGAAACCAGTATGAACCCGTACAAACCAGTCTAAACCAGTACAAACCAGTAACGCCAAACCAGTATAAACCAGTATAAACCAGTAACCCCAGCTCCCCTTTTCACCCCTCCCAGTACAAACCAGTTCCTCCCAGTATAAACCAGTCCAAACCAGTCCCTCCCAGTCCCTCCCAGTCCAAACCAGTTCCCCTCAGTCCCTCCCAGTATAACCAGTACAAACCAGTCCCCCCAGTCCAAACCAGCATAAACCAGTCCAAACCAGTAACCCCAAACCCCCTTTTCACTCCCTCCCAGTATAAACCAGTATAAACCAGTACAAACCAGTAACCCCAGCTCCCCTCCAGTCCTCCCAGTACAAACCAGTCCTTCCCAGTATAAACCAGTACAAACCAGTCCCCCCAGTCCAAACCAGCATAAACCAGTCCAAACCAGTATCCCCAAACCCCCTATTTCCCCCCTCCCAGTACAAACCAGTATAAACCAGTACAAACCAGTTCCCCCCAATCCAAACCAGTATAAACCAGTCCAAACCAGTATCCCCAAACTCCCTTTTCCCCCCTCCCAGTCCCTCCCAGTACAAACCAGTACAAACCAGTATAAACCAGTCCAAACCAGTAACCCCAGCTCCCCTCCCAGTTCCTCCCAGTACAACCCAGTACAACCCAGTCCCTCCCAGTATAAACCAGTCCAAACCAGTCCCCCCAGTCCAAACCAGTACAAACCAGTACAAACCAGTAACCCCAAACCCCCTTTTCCCAGTCCCTCCCAGTACAAACCAGTATAAACCAGTATAAACCAGTACAACCCAGTCCCTCCCAGTATAAACCAGTCCAAACCAGCATAAACCAGTACAAACCAGTAACCCCAGCTCCCCTCCCAGTCCCTCCCAGTACAAACCAGTACAAACCAGTAACCCCAAACCCCCTTTTCCCAGTCCCTCCCAGTACAAACCAGTCCAAACCAGTCCCTCCCAGTACAAACCAGTATAAACCAGTCCAAACCAGTATCCCCAAACCCCCTTTTCCCCCCTCCCAGTACAAACCAGTCCCTCCCAGTATAAACCAGTATAAACCAGTGGCTCACCCCAGCGCCTGGGGCTCCCCCCACAGCCCCGCCCCCTTCTTGGGCTGGGGGAGGGTCCCGGGGGGGGTGGGGGAGGGCCGCGGCCCCCGCCCCTCCCCCCGCGCCCGGCACCACCCGCGTCAGCAGCAGCAGCTCCGCCATGGACCAGTATGGACCAGTATAAACCAGTATGGACCAGTATGGACCAGTATGGACCAGTATGGACCAGTATGGACCAGTAATAAACCAGTATGGACCAGTATGGACCGGTATGGACCAGTATGGACCGGTATAAACCAGTATGGACCAGTATGGACCAGTATGGACCGGTATGGACCGGTATAAACCAGTACAGACCAGTACAGACCAGTAACACCAGTCCCTCCCAGTCCCTCCCAGTCCCTCCCAGTTTGTCCAGTCCCTCCCAGTCCCCTCCCAGTCCCTCCCAGTTTGTCCCAGTCCCTCCCAGTTTGTCCCAGTCCCTCTCAATCCCCGCCCAGTTCCCTCCCAGTAACCCCAGACTCCAAACCAGTACAAACCAGTAACCGTAAATTCCCTCCCAGTCCCTCCCAGTCCCTCCCAGTTTGTCCCAGTTCCCTCCCAGTTCATCCCAGTCCCTCCCAGTCCCTCCCAGTTTATCCCAGTACCTCCCAGTTCCCTCTCAATCCCCGCCCAGTTCCCTCCCAGTAACGCCAAACTCCAAACCAGTAACAAACCAGTATAAACCAGTAACCGCAAATTCCCTCCCAGTCCCTCCCAGTCTGTCCCAGTTTGTCCCAGTCCCTCCCAGTCCCTCCCAGTCTGTCCCAGTTTGTCCCAGTCCCCTCCCAGTCCCTCCCAGTCTGTCCAGTTTGTCCCAGTCCCTCCCAGTCCCTCCCAGTTCATCCCAGTTCCATCTCTCGGGTTTTTTCCATTTTTTCTTTATTTCCCCCCCAAATCCCCATTGGTCACTGCTGGTCACTGCTGGTCCCTCATTGGTCATTGCTGGTCCCTCATTGGTCACTGTTGGTCAATGCTGGTCACTGTTGGTCACTGCTGGTCACTCGTGGTCACTCATTGGTCGCTGCCGGTCCCTCATTGGTCGGTGCTGGTCACTCGCGGTCCCTCATTGGTCACTCCTGGTCACTCCTGGTCCCCATTGGTCACTGCTGGTCGGTGCCGGTCCCTCATTGGTCGCTGCTGGTCAGTGCCGGTCCCTCATTGGTCGGTGCTGGTCACTGTTGGTCACTCCTGGTCCCCGTTGGTCACTGCTGGTCACTCGTGGTCACTCATTGGTCACATTTGGTCACTCATTGGTCACTCCTGGTCACTGTTGGTCCCCTCATTGGTCAGTGCCGGTCAGTGCCGGTCCCTCATTGGTCGGTGCTGGTCACTGTTGGTCACTGCTGGTCCCTCATTGGTCACTGTTGGTCAATGCTGATCACTCATTGGTCACTGCTGGTCACTGTTGGTCACTGCTGGTCACTGTTGGTCACTGCTGGTCACTCGTGGTCCCTCATTGGTAACTTCTGGTCACTGTTTGGTCACTGCTGGTCCCCGTTGGTCACTGCTGGTCAGTGCCGGTCCCTCATTGGTCACTGTTGGTGACTGCTGGTCCCCGTTGGTCACTGTTGGTCCCTCATTGGTCAGTGCCGGTCCCTCATTGGTCAGTACTGGTTGGTGCTGGTCCCTCATTGGTCCCTCATTGGTCAGTGCCGGTCCCTCATTGGTCGGTGTTGGTCACTCCTGGTCCCCATTGGTCCCTCATTGGTCGGTGCCGGTCCCTCATTGGTCGGTGTTGGTCACTGTTGGTCTCTCCTGGTCCCCATTGGTCTCTCCTGGTCGCTGCCGGTCCCTCATTGGTCGGTGTTGGTTGCTGCCGGTCCCTCATTGGTCGGTGCCGGCGGGCGCTGCTCCCTCATTGGCCGGCGCCGATGACGCGGCGGATCCAGGGCGTGGCCCGGCAGACGTTGCTGTAGACGCCGGGGTTCCCGCGCTGCCCGCACACGGCCAGGCCCCAGGAGACCACGCCCTGCAGGTACCCCCCGCACACCAGCGGCCCACCTGAGTCACCCTGAAACAGGTGAGAGACAGGTGAGACACACCTGGGATACACCTGGGAGACACCTGGGAGACACCTGGGATACACCTGGGATACACCTGGGATACACCTGAGATACACCTGAGATACACCTGAGAGACACCAGTGGCCCACCTGAGTCACCCTGAAACGGGGGAGAGGGACAGGTGAGAGACAGGTGAGAGACACCTGGGATACACCTGGGATACACCTGGGATACACCTGGGATACACCTGGGATACACCTGAGAGACACCTGAGTCACCCTGAAACAGGGGAGAGGGACAGGTGAGAGACAGGTGAGATACACCTGGGATACACCTGAGAGACACCTGAGTCACCCTGCAACAGGTGAGACACACAGGTGAGAGAGACAGGTGAGAGACACCTGGGATACACTGAGACACCTGGGATACACCAGCGGCCCACCTGAGTCACCCTGAAACAGGGGAGAGGGACAGGTGAGAGAGAGACAGGTGAGAGACACCTGGGATACACCTGAGATACACCTGAGAGACACCTGAGAGACACCTGAGTCACCCTGAAACAGGAAATGGACAGGTGAGACACACCTGAGACACCTGGGATACACCTGGGAGACACCTAGGATACACCTGAGTCACCCTGCAACAGGTGAGAGACAGGTGAGAGAGATACACCTGGGATACACCTGAGATACACCTGAGTCACCCTGCAACAGGTGAGAGACACCTGAGAGACACCTGGGATACACCTGAGTCACCCTGCAACAGGTGAGAGACACAGGTGAGACACACACACCTGAGATACACCTGAGATACACCTGAGACACCCTGGAACAGGTAACAGGTGAGGGACAGGTGAGACACACCTGAGTCACCCTGCAATGGGAAACAGGTGAGATACACCTGGGATACACCTGGGACACACACCTGGGGCACACCTGGGCACACCTGGCACACCTGGGACAGGTACAGGCACACCTGGGCACTCACCTGGGGCACACACACCTGGACACACCTGGGCACACCTGGGCACTCACCTGGCAGGAGTCGACGCCGCCCTGGGGCACACCTGCGCAGAACATGTTACACACCTGGCACACACACCTGGGACACGTACAGACACACCTGGCACAGGTACAGGCCACACCTGGCACACCTGGGGCACACCTGTTCCCTCACCTGGCAGGAGTCAACGCCGCCCTGGGGCACACCTGGCACAGGTACACACACACCTGGCACAGGTACAACACACACCTGGGGCGCACACCTGGGCACACCCCACCTGGGCACACTCACCTGGCACAGGTACAGACACACCTGGGGCACACACCTGGGCACACCTGGGGCACATCTGGCACACACACCTGGGGCAGGTACAGACACACCTGGGGCACACACACCTGGCACACCTGTTCCCTCACCTGGCAGGAGTCGACCCCGCCCTGGGGCACACCTGGCACACACCTGGCACACACACCTGGGGCACACCTGGCACAGGTACAGACACACCTGGGGCACACCTGGGCACACACCTGGCACACCACACCCTGGCACAGATACAGACACACCTGGGCACACCTGGGGCACACACACCTGGGGCACACCTGGCACAGGTACAGACACACCTGGCGCACACACCTGGCACAGGTACACACACACCTGTTCCCTCACCTGGCACACCCACCTGGGCACACCTGGCACATACCTGGGGCACACCTGGGCACTCACCTGGCAGGGGTCGATGCCGCCCTGGGGCACACCTGGCACACACACCTGGGCACACTGGGGCACACACACCTGGCACAGGTACAGGCACACCTGTTCCCTCACCTGGCAGGAGTCGACGCCGCCCTGGGGCACACCTGCCCAGAACATGTTGCACACCTGGCACCACACACCTGGCACACACACCTGGCACACACACCTGGCACAGGTACAGGCACACCTGGCACACACCTGGCACACACACCTGGCACACACCTGGGCACACCTATTCCCTCACCTGGCAGGAGTCGACGCCGCCCTGGGACACACCTGGCACAGGTACAGACACACCTGGGACACACACCTGGCACAGGTACAGACACACCTGGGACACACACCTGGCACAGGTACAGACACACCTGGCACAGGTACAGGCACACCTGGGCACACTCACCTGGCAGGAGTCGACGCCGCCCTGGGGCACACCTGCGCAGAACATGTTACACACCTGGCACACACACACACCTGTCACACATACAGACACACCTGGCACACACCTGGCACACACCTGGGCACACCTGTTCCCTCACCTGGCAGAAGTCGACGCCGCCCTGGGGCACACCTGCGCAGAACATGTTGCACACCTGGGGCACACACACCTGGCACACACACCTGGCACACACACCTGGCACACCTGGCACAGGTACAGACACACCTGGCACAGGTACAGGCACACCTGGGCACACTCACCTGGCAGGAGTCGACTCCGCCCTGGGGCACACCTGCGCAGAACATGTTGCACACCTGGCACACACACACACCTGGCACAGGTACACACACACCTGGCACAGGTACACACACACCTGGCACACACCTGGCACACCTGTCCCGCTCACCTGGCAGGAGTCGACGCCGCCCTGGGGCACACTGCACAGAACATGTTGCGGGTGACGGCGCTGCCGTAGGCGCGGGCGCACTGCTCGGGCCCGAAGGTCTGCACCTGCGCGCACTGCAGGTCCCGCGGCAGCTTGGCTGCACAGGTGAGAGACAGGTGAGAGACAGGTGAGCGACAGGTGAGGCGAGAAAAACCAAAAAAAAACCCAAAAATCCCCGGGTTTGGGTCAGCAGAACCCAAAATCCCCAGGATTTGCCCCATTCTGGGATGCAAAACTTCCTGGACCTGCCCAGGTGAGCACAGGTGAGGGACAGGTGAGACAGGTGAGGCACAAAAAACCCAAAAAAACCCCAAAAATCCCCGTTTTTGGGTCGCAGAACCCAAAATCCCCAGGATTTGCCCCATTCTGGGATCCAAAACCTTCCCAGACCCATCCAGGTGAGCAACAGGTGAGGGACAGGTGAGACAGGTGAGAGAAACTTTTAAAAAATCCCCATTTTTGGTTATGTGGAACCCAAATCCCCTGGATTTGCCTCATTCTGGGACCCAAAACCTTCCTGGACCCGCCCAGGTGAGCACAGGTGAGGCGGAGAAAAACCAAAAAAACCCCAAAATTCCCCAATTTTGGGTCAGCAGAACCCAAAATCCCCTGGATTCGCCTCATTTTGGGGCCATTCCCAGCCATGGTAGACCCCAAAACCTCCCTGGACCCGCCCAGGTGTGCCCAGGTGAGCACAGGTGAGGCAAAACCCAGAAATCCCCATTTTGGGTCAGCAGAATCCAAAAATCCCCCCCAAAATCTCCTTTTCTGGTAAATGGAACCCAAAATCCCCAGGATTTGCCCCATTTTGGAGCCATTCCCAACCCCAAAGGTGATTTCTGGTGGGACCCCAGAACACCTGCACAGGTGAGGCACAGGTGAGGCCAAAAAACCCAAAAAAACCCCAAAAAAACCCCATTTTTCGGTCAGCAGAACCCAAAATCCCCGGGATTTGCCCCATTCCGGGGCCATTCCAGCCTTGGTGGAGCCCAAAACCTCCCTGGACCCGCCCAGGTGTGCCCAGGTGTGCCCAGGTGTGCCCAGGTACCTCCAGGTGATTTGGTGGTGCCCCACCCGCTGACGCTGCAGTTCTGCCCCGCCCGGGGGCACCTGGGACACACCTGGGGCACACCTGAGACACACCTGGGACTGGTGAGACACACCTGGGACACACCTGGGACACACCTGGGACACACCTGGGATACACCTGGGACACACCTGAGACACACCTGGGACACACCTGGGATACACCCTGGATACACCTGGGGCTCACCTGGGACCACACCTGGGGCACACCTGGGATACACCTGGAGCTCACCTGGGACACACCTGGGAACACCTGGGACACACCTGGGATACACCTGGGACACACCTGCAACCCCACCTGGTCTCCATAAGGGGCTCCAGAGACCTCACCTGAGAACCCACCTGGGACCTCACCTGGGGCACACCTGGGACACACCTGAGACCGCACCTGGTCTCCATAGGAGCTCCAGAGACCTCACTTGGGACCTCACCTGAGACCCCCACCTGGGATACACCTGGGACACACCTGGGACACACCTGGGACACACCTGAGCCCTCCCTGACCCTCCCACACCTGTGCCCAGGTACCTCCAGGTGATTTGGTGGTGCCCCACCCGGAGATGCTGCAGTTCTGCCCCGCCCGGGGGCCCCTGGGCGCGGGGCGGATTTTCTTGACGCGGGGCCCGAAGCGCACAGGTGCGTCCAGGTGCAGCAGCATGAAGTCGTTGTCCGTTGCGCCGGGGGTTGTAGCCGGGGTGCACCTGGAGGCGCGAGACGCGGCGCACCTGGCCCGTACCTGCCCGGAGCGTGTTGGTGCCGATCAGCACCTGCAGGTCCCTGAAAAGGTGACACAGGTGACACAGGTGAGACAGGACAGGTGACACAGGTGAGCGCACCTGGCCCGTACCTGCCCGGAGCGTGTTGGTGCCGATCAGCACCTGCAGGTCCCTGAAAAGGTAACACAGGTGACCAGACAGGGTGAGCACAGGTGAGAGGGGACAGGTGAGATGGGACAGGTGAGCACAGGTGACACAGGACAGGTGACACAGGTGAGACGGGACAGGTGAGATGGGACAGGTGACAGGGACAGGTGAGCACAGGACAGGTGGGATGGAGCTCCATGGGACAGGTGACACAGGACAGGTGAGAGGGGACAGGTGACACAGGACAGGTGACACAGGTGAGCGCACCTGCCCGTACCTGCCCAGAGCGTGTTGGTGCCGATCAGCACCTGCAGGTCCCTGAAAAGTGAGACAGGTGAGCACAGGTGAGACAGGTGACACAGGACAGGTGACACAGGACAGGTGACAGGGACAGGTGACAGGGACAGGTGAGCTGGGACAGGTGTCACCACCCAGCCAGGTGTATCCCAGGTGTATCCCAGGTGTATCCCAGTGTGCCCAGGTGTGTCTCACATGCATCTCAGGTGCCCCCATGTGCCTCCCAGGTATGTGTGTAACCCATCCCAGGTGTGCCCAGGTGTGCCCTCACCTGATTGGCTGCTTGCAGCGCGCGGCCGTCAGCACCCACTGGGCCCCCAGGTGTGCTCAGGTGTGTCTGTACCTATCCCAGGTGTGCCCAGGTGTGCCCAGGTGCCCCCAGGTGTGCTCAGGTGTGTGTGTACCCTATCCCAGGTGTGCATTACCTGTCGCAGGTGTGCCCTCACCTGATTGGCTGCTTGCAGTGCGCCGCCGTCAGCACCCATTGGGCTCTCAGGTGTACCCAGGTGTGTGTGTACCTGTACCCAGGTGCCCCCAGGTGTATCCCAGGTGTATCCCAGGTGTGCCCAGGTGTGTGCATTACCTGTCGCAGGTGTGCCCTCACCTGATTGGCTGCTTGCAGTGCGCCGCCGTCAGCACCCATTGGGCTCTCAGGTGTGCCCAGGTGTGTGTGTACCCTATCCCAGGTGCCCCCAGCTGTGCCCAGGTGTATCCCAGGTGTATCCCAGGTGTGTCTGTACCTGTCGCAGGTGTGCCCTCACCTGATTGGCTGCTTGCAGTGCGCGGCCGTCAGCACCCATTGGGCGGCCACGAGGCTGCCCCCGCACAGGATCTGCCCCCGCTTGATCAGCGCCACCTGGAACGGGCGCTGGGCCACGGAGCAGGGCCGGCCCCCGATGATCCGCGACTCGTCCTCCTCGGGAACTGGGGTGAAAACACGGGGAAACGGGAAAAATGTGAAAAAACGGGAAAAAAAACGGGAAAAAACGGTGAAAAAATGGGGAAAAACGATGAAGAAATGGGGAAAATGGAAGAAAAATGGGATAAAAATGGGGGCAAATGGGGAAAGGATGCACGACTCGTCCTCCTGGGAACTGGGGTGAAAAATTGGGAAAATGGGAAAAATGTGAAAAAACAGGAAAAAACGGGGAAAATGGGGAAAAACAGTGAAAAAATGGGGAAAAATGGGGAAAAAATGGAGGGAAAATGGAGGGAAAATGGGGAAAAATGGGATAAAAATGGGGGGAAATGGGAAAAGATCCATGACGTGTCCTCCTCGGGAACTGGGGCAAAAAATTGGAAAATGGAAAAAAGGGGAAAAAACAGTGAAAAAATGGGGAAAAATGGGGAAAATGGGGGGAAATGTCCTGGAACGGGCGCTGGGCCACGGAGCAGGGCCGGCCCCCGATGATCCGCGACTCGTCCTCCTCGGGAACTGCAAAATGGGTGAAAAACGGGGAAAATGGGAAAAATGTGAAAAAACAGGAAAAAACGGGGAAAAACGGTGAAAAAACGGCAAAAAACGGTGAAAAAAACGGCAAAAAACGATGAAGAAATGGGGGAAAATGGAAGAAAAATGGGATAAAAATGGGGGGAAATGGGGAAAAGATCCATGATGTGTCCTCCTTGGGAACTGGGGCGAAAAAAACGGGGGAAATGGGAAAAAATGTGAAAAAACGGGAAAAAACGGGGGAAAACGGTGAAAAAAACGGCAAAAAACAATGAAAATATGGGGAAAAACGATGAAGAAATGGGGAAAAAAGGGGGGAAAAATGGGGAAAAGATCCACGATGTGTCCTCCTCAGGAACTGGGGTGAAAAACGGGAAAAATGTGAAAAAACGGGAAAAAACGGTGAAAAAATGGGGAAAAAATGGTGGAAAAAATGGGGGAAAAATGGTGGAAAAAATGGCAGAAAATGGGGAAAAGATCCATGATGTGTCCTCCTTGGGAACTGGGGTGAAAAACGGGGAAAATGTGAAAAAACGAGAAAAAACGGTGAAAAAATGGGGAAAAACGGTGAAAAAATGGCAAAAAAAAACAATGAAAAAATGGGGAAAATGGAAGAAAAATGGGATAAAAATGGGGGAAATGGGGAAAGGATGCACGACTCGTCCTCCTTGGGAACTGGGGTGAAAAACGGGGAAAATGGGAAAAAACGGTGAAAAAATGGGGAAAAACAGTGAAAAAATGGGGAAAAATGGGGAAAAATGGAGGAAAAATGGAGGGAAAATGGGGAAAAATGGTGGGGAAAAATGGGATAAAAATGGGGGGAAATGGGGAAAAGATCCATGACGTGTCCTCCTTGGGAACTGGGGCAAAAAATTGGGAAAATGGGAAAAATGTGAAAAAACGGGGAAAAAATGGGGAAAAATTGGGGAAAAAATGGGGAAAAATGGGGAAAAAATGGAGGAAAAATGGAGGGAAAATGGGGAAAAATGGGATAAAAATGGGGGGAAATGGGGAAAAGATCCACGACGTGTCCTCCTTGGGAACTGGGGTGAAAAATTGGGAAAATGGGAAAAATGGTGAAAAACGGGGAAAAAATGGGGAAAACGGTGAAAAAATGGGGAAAAAACAATGAAAATATGGGGAAAAACGATGAAGAAATGGGGAAAAAAGGGGGGAAAAATGGGAAAAGATCCACGATGTGTCCTCCTCAGGAACTGGGGTGAAAAACGGAAAAATGTGAAAAAACGGGAAAAAAACGGTGAAAAAATGGGAAAAAAGGTGAAAAAATGGGGGAAAAAATGGGGAAAAAATGGTGGAAAAAATGGCAGAAAATGGGGAAAAGATCCATGATGTGTCCTCCTTGGGAACTGGGTGAAAAACGGGGAAATGGGGAAAATGTGAAAAAACGAGAAAAAACGGTGAAAAAATGGCAAAAAACAATGAAAAAATGGGGAAAATGGAAGAAAAATGGGATAAAAATGGAGGGAAATGGGGAAAGGATGCACAACTCATCCTCTTTGGGAACTGGGGTGAAAAACGGGGAAAATGGGAAAAATGTGAAAAAACGGGAAAAAAACGGGGAAAAAATGGGGAAAAATGGTGAAAAAATGGGGAAAAATGGAGGGAAAATGGGGAAAAATGGGGGGGAAAAAATGGGATAAAAAATGGGGGGAAATGGGGAAAAGATCCATGATGTGTCCTCCTTGGGAACTGGGGTGAAAAAATTGGGAAAATGGGAAAAATGGTGAAAAAAAAATGAAAAAAGAGGAAAAATAAGTGAAAAATGGGGGGGAAATGATGAGAAAATTGGGAAAAAAAGGGGAAAAATTGGGGGGAAATGGGGAAGTGATCTGTGACTCATCCTCCTCAGGAATTGGGCAAAAAACAGGGAAAATGGGAAAAATGGGGAAAAAATGGGGAAAAAATGGGGAAAATGGTAAAAAAATGGGGGAAAATGGGGAAAAATGGGAAAAAATGGGGGAAAAATGGGGAAAATGGGAAATGATCGGTGACTTGTCCTCCTTCAGAACTGGGGCAAAAAACTGGGAAAATGGGAAAAAATGGGAAAAAACTGTGGGAAAATGGGAAAAAATTGAGGAGATGGTGAAAAATGGGGAAAATGGGAAGAAAATGGGGAAAAATGAGAGAAATGGGAGAAAAAAATAGGAAAAAAAGCGGGAGAACACCTGGGAATTTGTCCCAAAAAAAGGAGAAAAAATGGTGGGAAAAGGGAAAAAAAAAAAGGGAAAAAATGGGGAAAAAATAGGAAAAAAGTGGAAATTGGCAGGAAAAATGAGTGAAAAAGGAAAAAAAAATGGGAGGAAAGGGAGAAAATGAGGAATTGACCAAAAAATGGGAGGAAAGGGAGAAATGAGGAATTGACCAAAAAACGGAGAATTTTAGGGAATTTGGGGCAAAAAAAAAAAGGAGGAAAATCAGGGGAGAAATGGGGGAAAATCAACCAAAAAAAGAGGAAAATTTGAATTTTAGAAATCCCAAATTTCCATTCCCGGGGGGGGGGGGTTTGGGTGGGGCCAGTGTGGTCATGTGATGGCTGAGCGGCCAATCAGGGGGCACGGAAGGTGTGACGTCATCGAGGTGTCATGGAGGTCACCTGAGTGGGGTCAGGGCCTCACCTGGGTGGGGTCATGGGGGTCACCTGGGTGGGGTCAGGGTCTCACCTGGGTGTGGTCCTGAGCTGGGTGGGGTCAGGTCTCACCTGGGTGGGGTCAGGGTCTCACCTGGGTGGGGTCAGGGCTCACCTGGGTGGGGTCAGGTCTCACCTGCCCAGGACATTCCAAGCACACCCAGATGGGCCAAGAACGAGGTTGGGGCCACCTGGGGCCACCTGGGGTTACCTGGGGAAGGAGCTCCTGGACCACCTGGACCTTGGGATCACCTTGACCACAATCACCTGGACCCTGTGGTCACCTGGACCTGGACCTGTGACCACCTTGACCACGATCACCTGGACCCTGTGGTCACCTGAACCTTGTGGCCACCTTGGCCATGGTCACCTGGTCCTTTGGGCCACCTGGACCTTGGGACCTTCCTGGCCATGGTCACCTGGACCTTGTGACCACTTGGACTTTGTGGCCATCTTGAACCCCTGACCACCACCTGGACCTTGTGACCACCTGGACAGTGACCACCTTGGCCATGGTCACCTGGACCCTGTGGCTACCTTGACCACAACTTGATTTTTGTGACCGCCTTGACCATAAACACCTGGACATTGTGACCACCTTGAGAGTGACCACCTGGACCATGGTCACCTGGTCCTTTGGGCCACCTGGACCTTGGGACCATCTTGACCACGATCACCTGGACCCTGTGGCCACCTCAACCGTGGTCACCTGGACCCTGTGACCACCTGGACTTTGTGGCCATCTTGAACCCCTGACCACCACCTGGACAGTGACCACCTTGGCCATGATCACCTGGACCCTGTGGTCACCTGGACCTTGTGGCCACCTTGCCATGATCACCTGGTCCTTTGGGCCACCTGGACCCTGTGGCCACCTGGACCCCATGACCACCTGGACCTTGAGATCACCTTGAACCTGTGACCACCTGGACTTTGTGGCCACCTTGGCCATGGTCACCTGCACCCTGTGATCACCTGGACCATGACCACCTGGACCTGTGACCACCTGGACCTTGGGATCACCTTGAACCTGTGGTCACCTGGACCCTGTGACCACCTTGGCCATGATCACCTGGACCCTGTGATCACCTGGACTCTGTGACCACCTGGACCCTGTGATCACCTGGACCATGACCACCTGAGCCCTGTGATCACCTTGGCTATGATCACCTGGACCCTGGGGCCACCTGGACTTTGTGGCCGCCTTGACATAAACACCTGGACATTGGACCACCTTGAGAGTGACCACCTGGACCTGTGACCACCTGAGCCCTGTGACCACCTTGGCCATGGTCACTGGACCTGTGACCACCTGAACCCTGTGATCACCTTGGCTATGATCACCTGGACCCTGTGACCACCTGGACAGGGCCACCTTGGCCATGATCACCTGGTCCTTTGGGCCACCTGGACCTTGGGACCATCTTGACCATGACCACCTGGACCCTGTGGCCACCTCAACCATGGTCACCTGGACCCTGTGGCCACCTGGACTTTGTGGCCATCTTGAACCCCTGACCACCACCTGGACAGTGACCACCTTGGCCATGATCACCTGGACCCTGTGGTCACCTGGACCTTGTGACCACCTTGGCCATGGTCACCTGGACCTTGGGACCACCTGGACCCTGTGACCATCTTGACCATGGTCACCTGGACCCTCTGACCACCTGGACCTTGGGATCACCTTGAACCTGTGACCACCTGGACCCCATGACCACCTGGACTTTGTGGCCACCTTGAAGCCCTGACCACCTGGACAGTGACCACCTTGGCCATGGTCACCTGGACTTTGTGGCCACCTTGACCACAACTTGATCTTTGTGACCGCCTTGACCATAAACACCTGGACCTGTGACCACCTTGAGAGTGACCACCTGGACCTGTGACCACCTGAGCCCTGTGACCACCTTGGCCATGGTCACCTGGTCCTTTGGGCCACCTGAGCCCTGTGACCACCTGGACCTGTGACCACCTCAACCATGACCATCGGGACTTTGTGGCCACCTTGACCCTGTGACCACCTTGACCATAAACACCTGGACATTGGGACCGCCTTGAGAGTGACCACCTGGACCTTGTGCCCACCTGGACCTGTACCCACCTGAGCCCCATGATCACCTGGTCCTTTGGGCCACCTGAACCTTGGAACCGCGTGGACCCGTGACCACCTGGACCTTGAGGCCACCTGAACCTTGTGACCACCTTGACCCTGTGACCACCTTGACCATGAGCACCTTGAGAATGACCATCTGGACCCTGGGGCCACCTTGACCATGGCCACCTTGACCACTGTGAGAGTGACCACGTGAACCTTGTGCCCACCTGGACCCTGTGGCCACCTGGACCCCGTGATCACCCTGAGAGTGCCCACCTGGACCTTGGGATCACCTTGAGAGTGACCATCTGAGCCCCATGACCACCTGGACTTTGTGAGCACCTGGACTTTGTGAGCACCTGGACCTTGTGCCCACCTTGATCATGATCACCTGGACCTTGTGACCACCTGGACCTTGTGACCACCTGGACCTTGGAACCACCTGGACCCTGTGGCCACCTGGACTTCATGACCACCCTGAGAGTGCCCACCTGGACCTTGGGATCACCTTGAGAGTGACCATCGGAGCCCCATGACCACCTGGACCTTGTGAGCACCTGGACCTTGTGCCCACCTTGATCATGATCACCTGGATCCTGTGACCACCTGGACCCTGTGCCCACCTGGACCTTGTGCCCACCTGGACTTTGAAACCACCTGGACCCTGTGCCCACCTGGACCTGTGCCCACCTGAACCTTTTGCCCACCTGGGCCTTGTGCCCACCTGGACCCTGTGACCACCTCAACCATGATTACCTGGTCCTTTGGGCCACGTGAACCTTGTGACCACCTGGACCTTGAGGCCACCTGAATTTTGGGACCCCCTGGACCCTGTGACTACCTTGACCACCTGAGAGTGACCATCTGAGCCCCATGACCACCTGGACCTTGGAACCACCTGGATCCTGAGAGTGACCACCTGGACCCTGTGACCACCTGGACATTGTGCCCACCTTGATCATGATCACCTGGACCTTGGAACCACCTGGACCTTGGAACCACCTGGACCCTGTGACCACCCTGAGAGTGCCCACCTGGACCTTGGGATCACCTTGAGAGTGACCATGGGAGCCCCATGACCACCTGGACCTTGAAACCACCTGGGCCTTGTGCCCACCTGGGCCTTTGGGCCACCTGGACCCTGTGACCACCTTGACCACGAGCACCTTGACCACCTGAGAGTGACCATCTGAGCCCCATGACCACCTGGACCCTGTGCCCACCTGGACCTTGGAACCACCTGGACCTGTGCCCACCTTGATCATGATCACCTGGACCTTCTGCCCACCTGGACCTTGGAACCACCTGGGCCTTGTGCCCACCTGAACCTTGTGCCCACCTGGACCCCGTGTCCACCTGCCCCTGTGCCCACCTGGAGGCCCCGCCCCCTGTCCCGGTGGCCCCGCCCCCAGCGTGGGTGGCTCCTGCGTCCCAGGGTTGGGACATGGGCCCCGCGGGACTGGTGGGACTGGTGGGACTGGTGGGGTGGGGTGGGGTGGGACGGGGACCCTGCCCGGCCCTGGCATCCCGGAACTCCTCCCACGCACTGTGGGGACATCCTGGAGGAGATCTGCTCCCACCCCGGCTCACCTGAGCTCACCTGAGCTCCCCTGGTCCTACCTGAGCTCCCCTGGTCCCACCTGACCCCACCAGTGACCGCCTGGACATTGGGAGCACCTGGACTTCATGACCACCTTGAGCACATTGAGAGTGACCACCTTGACCATGAGCACCTGGACCCTGTGACCACCTGGACCCTGTGACCACCTTGACCACGACCACCTGGACCCTGTGACCACCTTGACACCTTGTCCACCTGGGCCCTGTGACCACCTGGACCCTGTGACCACCTTGACACCTTGTCCACCTTGACCATGAGCACCTGGACCCTGTGAACACCACGACCTTCTGACCACGTGGACAGTGACCCCCCTGGAGCTTGTGACCACCTTGAGACCTTGTCCACCTTGACCCTGTGACCACCTTGAGAGTGACCATCACCTGCACCTGGGGGCCACCTCGACCATGACCACCTTGACCCTATGACCACCTTGACCATGACCACCTTGACCACGACCACCTGGACTTCGTGACCACCTTGACCCTGTGACCACCTGGACTTCATGACCACCTTGAGCACCTTGAGAGTGACCACCTTGACCATGAGCACCTTGACCATGAGCACCTTGACCATGACCACCTGAACCCTGTGACCACCTTGACCATGACCACCTTGACCATGACCACCTTGACCATGACCACCATGACCTTGGGACCACCTTGACTGTGACCACCTTGACCATGAGCACCTGGACCCTGTGACCACCTGGACCCTGTGACCACCTTGACCTTGTCCACCTTGACCCTGTGACCGCCTTGAGAGTGACCATCACCTGCACCTGGGGGCCACCTCGACCATGACCACCTTGACCCTGTGACCACCTTGACCATGACCACCTGAACATTGGGACCACCTGGACTTCATGACCACCTTGACCATGACCACCTTGACCATGACCAGAGTGACCACCTGGACCTTGGGACCCCCTTGACCATGACCAGAGTGACCACCTGGACCTTGGGACCCCCTTGACCATGACCAGAGTGACCACCTTGACCTGTGACTGCCTTGAGTGACCACCTGGACTTCATGACCACCTGGACCCTGTGACCACCTGAACATTGGGACCACCTTGACCGTGACCACCTTGACCCCATGACCACCTTGACCATGACCACCTTGACCGTGACCACCTTGACCCCATGACCACCTTGACCATGACCACCTTGACCCTGTGACCACCTGGACTTCATGACCACCTTGACCACCTTGAGTGACCACCTTGACCATGACCACCAAAACCCCAAAACCTCCAACCCCAAAACCCTAAAACCCCCAAACCAGAGTTCCCCAAAAACCCCAAATCCCCAAAATCCCAAATCCCCAAAATCCCAGCCCCCAAATCCCCAAAATCCCAAAACCACAAGGACCAAACCCCAAACCCAGAGTTCCCCAAAACCCCAAAATCCTCAAACCCTAAATCCCAAACCCCAAATTTTAAAACTGAAAACCCAAAACCCCAAATCCCAACCCCAAAACCTCAAAGCCAAAGCTTTAAAACCCAAAACCCCAAAATCCCCAAACACCAAAACCCCAAAATCCCAAATCCCCAAAACCCAAACTCCAAAACTCCAAGAACTCTAAACCCCAAAATTCCCAAATCCCAAACCCCAAAATCCCCAAACCCAAAATCCCCAAACCCCAAAACCCCAAAAACCCCAAACTCCCAATCCCCAAACCCAAAATCTCCAAATCCCAAACCCCAAAAACCCAAAACCCCCAAATCCCCAAACCTAAACCCCAAAATTCCCCGAACAACTCCTGAAATTCCCAAAATCCCTGAAAGTCCCTAAGTTGTTCCTGAAATTCCCAAAATCCCCCAAATAATTCCCGAAATTCCTGAAATCGTTTTCGAAATTCCCAATTCGGGTTCCCAAGGTCCCCCAAAGAATTCCTGAAACGATTCCGAAATTCCAGAAATTCCAGAAATTCCCGAAATAATTCCCGAAAAATCTCAAAATTATTCCAAATGTTCCTGAAATCCACCCTGAAATTCCCCAAATTATTCCCAAAATAATTCATGAAATTCCCAAAACAATTCTTGGAATTGTTCCTGAAATTCCCCAAAACTCCCAAAATTCCTGAAACCATTCCCAGAATTTCCAAAATTCCCAAAACCATTCCCGAAATTCCCAAAATTCCCCATATTCCCAAAATTATTCCCAAATTTCCCGAAATTCTTCCCAAAATTCTTCCCCAAAATTCTTCCCAAAAATTCCCCAAAATTCGCGAAATTATTCCCCAAAATTCTTCTCAAAATTCTTCCCAAAAATTCCCCAAAATTCTTCCCAAAATTCGCAAAATTATTCCCGAAATTCTTCCCAAAATTATTCCCCAAAATTCTTTCCAAAAATTCCCCAAAATTCACGAAATTATTCCCAAAATTCTTCCCAAAATTCTTCCCCAAAATTCTTCCCAAAAATTCCCCAAAGTTCGCGAAATTATTCCCGAAATTTGCCCCGAAATTCTTCCCGAAATTCTTCCCAAAATTATTCTCAAAATTCTTCCCCAAATTCCCCAAAATTCTCCCAAAAATTATTCCCAAAATTCCCAAAATTATCCCCAAAATTATCCCCAAACTTCTTCCCAAAATTATTCCCAAAAATTCCCCAAAATTCGCGAAATTATTCCTGAAATTTGCCCCGAAATTCTTCCCAAAATTCTTCCCAAAATTCCCGAAATTCTTCTCAAAATTCTTCCCAAAATTCCCCAAAATTCTTTTCAAAATTCTTCCCGAAATTCCCCAAAATTATTCCCAAAATTATTCCCAAAATCCTTCCCAAAATTCCGCAAAATTCGCAAAATTCTTCCCCAAATTCTTCCCCAAATTCTTCCCAAAATTCCCGAAATTCTTCTCAAAATTCTTCCCAAAATTCTTCCCAAAATTCTCAAAATTATTCCCAAAGATTCCCCGAAATTTTTCCCAAAATTCCCCCAAAATTCTTCCCAAAATTCCCCCAAAATTATTCCCCAAAATTCCCCGAAATTTTTTTCCCAAAATTCTTCCCAAAATTCCCCAAAATTCTTCCCCAAAAATTCTTCCCCCAAATTCCCCCCCGAATGTTCCGGAAATCCCCGGATTTCCCCTCCCCCACTCACGCTCGGCGCCGTTTCCCGCGCGCGCCGGGGCCGCGAGGAGGAGGAGGAGGAGCAGGAGCGGGGGGGCGGGGCCGAGGCCGAAGGCTCCGGGAGCCATTCCTGGGGGGGGAGGGGAGAGAGAAAAACGCACCGGGAAACAACGGGTTAAAGGGGCGGGGCCAGCCGGGGAAAGGGGCGGGGTTACAGCGAGAGGGACGCGGCGAGAGGGCGGGGTCAATGTGAGGGGGGCACGGTGAGGGGGCGGAGCCAACGTGAGGGGGCCACGGGGAGGGGGCGGAGCCAACGTGAGGGGGCTACGGGGAGGGGGCGGAGCCAACGTGAGGGGGGCACAGTGAGGGGGCGGAGCCAACGTGAGGGGGGCACAGCGAGGGGGCGGAGCCAACGTGAGGGGGGCACAGTGAGGGGGCGTGGCCACAGCGAGGGGTGGGAGGGATTTGGGGGAATTTTTGGGGGAATTTTTGGGGATTTTTGGGGATTTTGGGGGAATTTTTGGGATTTTGGGAGCCAGGTGAGAGCCAGGGGGAATTTTGGGGATTTGGGGGGAATTTTGGGGGAATTTTTGGGGATTTTTTGGGATTTTTTGGGGGGGGTTTGGGAGTCAGGAATTCAGATGAGATCCAGGTGGCATTTGGGGATTTTGGGGGGAATTTGGGAGGAATTTTTGGGATTTTTTGGAGATTTTTTGGGGGGTTTTGGGAGTCAGGAATTCAGGTGGGATCCAGGTGGGATTTGGGGATTTTGGGGGGAATTTTTGGGATTTTTTTGAGATTTTTGGGGGGGGTTTTGGGAGTCCTGAATTCAGGTGAGATCCAGGGATTTTGGGGGATTTTTTGGGGATTTTTTGGGGATTTTTTGGGGGGTTTTGGAGTCCTGAATTCAGGTGAGATCCAGGTGGGGTTCGGGGATTTTGGGGGGAATTTTTGGGATTTTTTGGGGAATATTTGGGGGTTTTGGGAGTCCTGAATTCAGGTGAGATCCAGGTGGGATTTGGGGGAAAGGTTTGGGGATTTGGGGGGAATTTGGGGGGAATTTTTGGGATTTTGGGAGCCAGGTAAAATCCAGGTGGGATCTGGGAAAAATTTTGGAGATTTTGGGGGGAATTTGGGGAAACTTGGGGAGAATTTTCGGGATTTGGGGGGGGATTTTGGGAGAATTTTGGGGATTTTGGGAGCCAGGTAAAATCCAGGTGGGATTTGGGGGGAATTTTGAGGATTTCGGGAGCCAGGTGAGATCCAGGTCAGATCCAGGTAAAATCCAGGTGAGATTTGGGGGGGATTTTGGGGGATTTTTGGGAGAATTTTGGGGGATTTTGGGGAGCCAGGTGAGATCCAGGTGGGATTTTGGGAGGGGAGTTTTGGGGAAATTTGGGGATTTTGGGGGAATTTGGGGGGAATTTGGGATCCAGGTGGGTCCAGGTGAGATCTGGGGGAGATTTGGGGGGAAATTTCTGGGATTTTGGGGGAGTTTTTGGGGGGAATTTCCGGGGGTTTTGGGAGCCAGGTGAGATCCAGGTGGGATTTGGGGAGAATTTTTGGGATTTTTGGGAGCCAGGTGAGATCCAGGTAAGAATTTGGGGGATTTTGGGGGGAATTTTTGAGCTCTTGGATCCAGGTGGGATCCAGGTGAGATTTGAGGGAACTTTGGGGAATTTTGGGTGAGATTTTGGGGATTTGGGGGGGGAATTTTGGGGTCTTGAATCCAGGTGAGGTCCAGGTAAGATCCAGGTAAGATCTCACCTGGATCCAAAACCCAAAAATCCCCGCCCCAAATCCCACCTGGATCGTGGCCACGCCCCCCAAAATCCCACCTGGATCGTGGCCACGCCCCCCAAAATCCCACCTGGATCGTGACCACGCCCCCTCCAGGCTACCTGGATCACACCTGGATCCAAAAGCCAAAAAATTCCCCCAAAATTCCCGAATATTCCCCAAAAATCTCACCTGGCTCAGAGCTCACCTGGATCTCACCTGGCTCCCAAAACCCCAAAAAATTCCCCCAAAATTCCCCAAAAATCTCACCTGGATTGGACTCACCTGGATCAGGGCTCACCTGGATCTCACCTGGCTCCCAAAACCCCCCAAAATTCCCCCAAAATTCCCGAAAATTCCCAAAAAATCTCATCTGGATTGGACTCACCTGGCTCAGGACTCACCTGGATCTCACCTGGATCCAAAAGCCCAAAATTTCCCCCAAAATTCCCCAAAAATTCCCCAAAAATCTCACCTGGATCAGCCTCATCTGGATTGGGGCTCACCTGGCTCAGACCTCACCTGTCTCACCTGTCAAGGACTCACCTGGATCAGCCTCACCTGGATCACACCTGGATCCAAAAGCCAAAAAATTCCCCAAAATTTCCCCCAAAATTCCCAAAAATTCCCCAAAAATCTCACCTGGATTGGACTCACCTGGATCTCACCTGGCTCCTCCCAAAACCCCAAAAATTCCCCCAAAATTCCCGAATATTCCCCAAAAAT